AAAAGGAGGAGCAGACAGCCTGAGGTTATCAGAGCCAGGTCCCACACGCCTGCTCTGCCCTTCCTGGTCTTAAGGCTCCCAAGGCCTCCACTGTCTCTACCCCATCGTGCTCAGCCTGAGGTAAGTAAGTCACGCTCAGAACTGTGTAGCATTGGGGCGCCTGGGTGACTCAGTCAGTTGACTGTTGGACTTCTGGTTTGGGCTCAGGTAACGATCTCGCGGTTCCTGAGTTCCGTGAGTTCAAGCCCTGCATCGGGCTTGGGAGTCTCTTTCCCTTTCTCTCTGCCCCTCCCTGTCTAAATAAATAAACGAATAAATAAACTTCAAAAAATATTTTTTTAAAAAAGAAAACACTGCATAGCACCGAGGGCACAGGTAGAAACCTAACAGTCAAGCCCTCGAAGGGGCCTCCCCTCACCTATTACCTGTCTGGTGACTCAGTTCTGGGGAGCAGACACCACTGATTCACACGGGAGTCTGTCTCTGATTTACCCTGATACCTGGTAGGTGACGGTCCCAGCGTAATGCCTCACGGTGAAGATAGGAAGGGGCAGCTGGGGCTTGGCATAGCAGGGGTGACTGCCATGGTGATAGTGGCACTTCTGGAGGAAGGTGTGGTCTGTGGCCTGATAAGAGGGATGAGCTTTCCTCAGGCCTTTGCACGTGACGTCGCCCTGCCTGGACTGTGCATCCCTTCCGGGCCCATCAGTATTTGTGGAATGGCTGTACCACAGCCCTGAGGCTTGCCCTCTACTAGCTGGAGGCCTGAGGGACCCCTACAGGCCCCACATAGGCCCTGTGCAGTCGCCACCACCCTGCCCCTTCTGCAGCAAGGACTTGAAGAACCCCAGAGAGGTCAGGTATCTTGCTCAAGGTCACCCAGAGACAGGATTTGAACCTAGTTTGCCCACTGCCTTCCCAAGCTCTGCTGAGAGGCTATAGGCAGGGTTTCTGGACCCCATCACCTTTTTGCTCCTCTGGGAGACCCTGATGGCCTTGGCCTGGCCACTAGGGCCCCCACCTTGTCCTTACCACTGGGGGCTCACCTGGGACAGCCATGTCTGGGCATCCAGGATACTCAGGAGGCTGTGGGGCTGATCTACGAGGAGGTCCAGGCAGGTCTCCCTCACAGGCTGGGGAACGGGCACCCAGGGCAGCAATTCTCGCTGACAGGCCTCCTGGGAACAGCCAGCACTGGGCCAGTCACAGGGCATGCCCACATTCATGGGGGAGCTCATCGGAGCCAGAGTAGGGGTGGCTCTCCCGTTGTACAGATGAGTAAAATGAGGCCCAGGAAGGCTGAGATGGCCCACAGCAGGGGGTGCTTTGGGGCAGGGCTCTCAGTTCAGCGCCCTCGGTTTCCCAAGGATGGCCTCTGCTCTGGGAATGCCTGGGTGCCCCCTCCCACCGCCAGGCCCAGCTCCTCTTACCTCCTCCTGGGCCAGCAGTGTCTGCCTGGTGAAGAGCTGCAGGCGCTCGCTGGCAAGGTTATTGCACAGCTGTTCCAGGCCATTCACCCGCAGGGCCTAGGGGCATGTGGGCAGTGAGGTGGGCACCCGCACGAGGTGGGGGCATGGGGCAGGTGCCGTGAGGGGCGGTGCTGCACATGGGCCTGGTGTCCTTCATTCTCCTCCCAGAACTCGAGGAGGAGTGGTGCCCGGGGGCTGATGCTGCAGCCTCCAGGGTCAAGTCCAAAGGCCTAGGCACAGAGTGTGCCCACGCCTCAGTCCACACCCTTCCCTCTGCCTCAGCACAACTGTGAGCCTCCAGGCCTCTGGTCACAGCCATCCTGTGGCCTGGAAGGTGCCTTTTTATGGCCCAGTAGCTCGCTGGCTCTCAGAATCCCACATCCTCATAAACAGGGCCTCAGGCTGCTGCCTCCAGGAAACCTTCCAGCATTCCTCCCATAAGGATTACAGGCTCCTTCCTCTGTGCCCCCCAGCACTTCACTCACAAGCGCGGAAGAGCCCCCGCTCCACGCAGCTTTGTACGGAGAGCCCTGCCACGCTCTAACACACACACAAGAACCCACACTTGCCACAAACATCCCCTGCTCAGAGAGGGCATGGTCCCCCAGGGCACGCTGGAGACGAGAGAGCAGGTGCCTGACCAGGGAAAGAGGCCACCTCCTCTTGCCCAAGCCCCCTCCTCCCTGATTATGAAAACTCAGGGCCATTCAGGGCACCGTCCCTTTTCCTGCTCCTCTTGGTGCACAGGAGGTGAGACCCATTCTAGGGCCTGTGCCTTCCCGGCTGCCTTAGAGGCTCCTGTGAGACTCAGCAAGGCCGAGCAGGACAGAACTCTCCAGAAGCGATATCAGGGCTGGACCGAGCAGGGCAGAAAGGCCACACCCATGGATTGTGTCCTGTCTCGTGGCTAGGCAGGCAAGAGCTCACGAGTGCCACCCTCAGGGAGAGCTGACCCCAGAAATGATCAGGATGAGGTGGGCACCCGGTCCTGGGCCCCACCCCAAGGGGTGACCTCAAAGCCATAGACGTCCACGACGGTGACGGTGTCCATGCTCTCTCCCTCCCCGGGTGGTGCCAGCTGCGCGTTGGTCCTCCCCAGAAGCCAAGTGAAAAGCCGTGAATACAGGGCCTTGGCCAGGGCGTCCCTGTGGGCGTGGTGAGTGAGCCAGTGCAGTAGCGAGCTGGGCCCGGCTATGGCTCTCTCCCGCCCCTGGGGCCACCTGGCATCAATGGCGCTTTCCACCGGCAGAGATCTGCAGACCCAGCCATAGGCTGTCTCCTGGAGAGCAGGGGAGGTAGGTAGATGCAGAACATCAGGTCTGACTGAGGCTGACACGGGCCCATGCCAAGCCTGCGGGTGGTGGGGGTTGGCCCTGCCTCCTGAGGAGCCCCGGGGCTCACCGTGACCTTCCTGGTGACAGCCCCCTCCAGGCGCTCTGGTGGCACCAGCAGCAGCCGGGCTGCCGTGTGGATCTCGGCCCAGCTGGACACAGCAGCCACCTCCTGGGACTCCCGCTGGACAGAGAAGGGAGGGAACAGGAACAGCTCTGCGGGGGAATGGCCACATCCCACAGGTAGCTCCGGGCAGGTAGGAGCCGACTCTGGAGCCTGGGGGCCCTGAGTGCGAGTCCTAATTTTACTTCCTCACTAGCTGGCTGGCTCTGGCAAGACTTTTCCTCTGAGTCTCCACTGTCTTATTGTTAAAGGGGAAACAACGACCCTAAGTTCCAGCGTTGTCGTGAGAACCGAATTAGAAAACAGATAGAGGGGCGCCTGGGTGGCTCAGTCAGTTAAGCGTCTGACTTCAGCTCAGGTCACGATCTCACGGTCCATGGGTTCGAGCCCCATGCGGGGCTCTGTGCTGACAGCTGGGAGCCTGGAGCCTGCTTTGGATTCTGTGTCTCCGTCGCTCTCTGCCCCTCCCCCGCTCATACTGTGTCTGTCCCTCTCTCTCTTTCTCTCTCTCAAAAATAAACACTCCCCTAAAACCAAGAGCACACTGTATATTAATCAATAAATTATATTAAAATAAATAAGCATTTCAAAACAATTAGAAAAAGAAAACAAATATATAAAGTGATTTAGACGGAGCCAGGTACATAGGAGCTACTCAGTGCAGTTCTCCCTTTCCAGGGTGGCAGCTTGGTGGCACTGGCATAGACGACCCAGGTCTCTGTTCTCGCATCTACACAACGAACCCGCCTGCTTCCCAGGGCAGCCGTGAGGCCTGGAGGGAGGCCCACAGGTATTAGGTATCATGGCTGCCCTGACCGTGCAAACAAGCCGCGTCCAGACTGGCCTCTGGCCACAGCGGGAGCCCACCTCTGAAGAGGAGAAGCAGACGTTGCCCAGCTGCAGGATGGCGGCCAGCATGGCCCAGGCTGCGGTCAGCTCCTCAGGGCGCGTGACCAGCACCTGCAGGGCCTTCAGAAGTCCTTCGAAGTCCTGGGCATCATCCTTGCCCTGGAGCCTGCAGGCCTGGCCCTGCAGAGCACAGCAGGGGTGAGGGAGCAGGGGTGAGGGAGCAGGGGTGAGGGGGCAGGGCCTGACAGCCCATAGCTTCCCCCCACTCCGGCCACTCCTTAGACCCCTGCTCCCAGACCTTTCCCCAGGCAAGCCCCGCCCCCACCTGGTTCAGGTAGTAGTAGGTCTCTGGCCCCTGTAGGGAGAGCTGCTCCCGTGCCACAGGGTCCAGCCCCGCCAGCAACTCGTAGAAAACATGGAAGCTCCGCTCAGCCTGGGCCTTGGGGAGAAGGACTGGCTTAGGGGGAGCAGGGCTCTGGTCCTGTGCCTCAGGGCAGCAAGGACAAGTCCTGGGAAAGGCAGGGATGCGGGGGGGGGGGGGGGGGGCAAGGGGGTTAGCAACCACACTCCCTGCACGGCCCCTCTCCCTCTCCCACTCTGGAAAGCTGGAGAGAGGCGAGCAGCAGCACGGGTCTTACCTGAAACACCACCCTCGAGGCCTCCAGCAGATAATGTGACACAGAAGCTCCCACGATGACCCCACTGTGGGCACGGGACAGTGGGCGGGGGGTGCCCAGGGTGCATGTGACCCAGGGGCCCTGCTCAGAATGGGACCCACTATGGGCTGGACCCAAGGGCAGCAGCCTCTGGTTCCCAGTAAAGGGAACTGATCGTGGGTGCCCCCCTGTGCCCACCAGGACCCCCTTAACTCACCGCTGCAGGCAGAGACGCAAGACCTGGCCGAAGCGACTGGCGTTTGCATTGAGGACTGTTTTGGCGTGGCCAAAGCTGCGAAGCATCAGCAGCACACCGTCCAGCTGCATGGGGGAGGGGCACTCAAGTATCCCCAGGAGTGGTAGCCGCGTCCATGATCAGGCATCCCAGCTGAGGATACTTTGTGCCTAGGGGCTGTGCTCGTCCTTGGAGAGGGTCAGTCCCACCCCACCTCACCCTGACCTCCAGGAGGCAATGCCTGGGGCTGCCCCCAAGGAGAATCCAGAGGCCTGAAGACCGCCCACCTGGCCCAAAGGAGAAGGATGGTTCCTCTTGGACCCTGGGAAATGCCCAGCTGCCTCTCACCTGACATCTTCTGTCCCTTGTTTGCTCCTGCTCCAGGCTGCTTAGGAATTGCACAATCTTTTTGGCAGCTTCTGTCTTCCCTGAGCCACTGTGCCCACTGTGGGAGGGAGGGGCTGACAGGGTTTTCAGGAAGGGGCACATAGGACACCCCATGGAGTCCAGGAACTGGGGCATGCCCACCTGAAAGTGATTCCTACCCCCGGAAATGTGGAAAGGTAGACCCAGGGCATGGAGACCAAGGAGAAGGATGATGCCAAGAGGCCCCAGTCAAGGGGCATGTGCAGTGACTTCAGCCAGGAGCACAGCCCTTACAAAGTCCAGCGGTGCCACCCAGCAGGGCACCAGGCCAACAGCTTCAAATGCAGACCCCACGTCCCTGCCTCCCAGCCCTCAGAGTGGCCCGTAGGTTCAGCAGGGCCCCACCGCTCACCCGAGGAGAATGCATGTGCCCTGCCCAGTGCTCTGAGACAAGCGATAGGCTGACACCACAATGGCGAAGATGTGTCTGAGGGAAGGGGGTGGGAGCAAATGAGGTTGCCAGAGATGGGCATTTGGGCCCTCCTACATGTAGGCAGGACATGCCCTCGGTCCCCCCAGGATCTCAATCAGTGGCACATGCTGGGGCTTAGCCGCCCAGGGGGTGAGCAGAGGGTTGATGGGGGCAAAGGCACGTACGGGGTGGTGTTAAGGGCCTTCTTGGGGTGGTAGCTGGCCAGGACCTCAGCTGAGAAGAGAGGCAGGGGCCGGCGGGGGTTCAGGGAGAGCAGAAAGGGTCCCCCAAATGTCTGGGAAAAAAAACAGATGCTGTCGTCACAGCATGGAGGAAGCAGGGGCTACAAATGGAGTGGGGCTGCTGTGCTCCC